GTAAGTTATAGTCTATATTTTAAATAATTTTTCAATCTATATATGTTATAATTTCTATCTTTGGAGACGGGATTAAGGCCCAGTTGTACCAATATTATTTGGGCTTTAAGCGAGACTTAATATACGTGACATTATACGTGATATTATATATTAAATATCATTTAAAATTCAAAATAACGTTGGTGCAATCGAGCCTAAATTTTAATAAATTTTTAGACTAATAAAATTTTTAATTCTAATAAGGATAGAAACATAAAAGCTTTATTGATTGTTCTGTCAATTGATTTTAAGTCTATTTGAAAACTAAAGATACATATTCCATCTTTGTATTTTGCATTAAAAAATTGGAAAGGATGATAAAAAATCTAGTGTATTATTTATTTTACCTTCGTTTGGGAATACAACGATCTGATTGGTTTTCCCGTAGAAGTTTTCGGCTGGTCTTTCTAGTTCGGATCGAAGCACATTGCCATTTATTAGAGGTTTCGGTAAGGTCGATAGCGGCATTGAAACTTCAGGCGGCTTTGACAGTCGCAGCTTCTTCAAGATCTGCTGCTTCACATATTCCACTCTCAGCTCGGTCAAGAACGGGTCGGGATCGATTACGTTGACCTTATTCTCCGCGCAATTGACGCACTCATTTTTTTTATTGGTGGACGACTCAGACGACGAATGGGGGAGGAATGTGTACCATACTCTCATCAGGGGGTTGGTCATCTCCGACCAGTTGGCCCCAATGTTGCTTACAAGAAGAATAACAAGAAACTTTACAATTAGACGCATTTTTTTTCTCAATGATGACTGATTGTCTCTTCAAATGATGACTGATCCGAATCGATTCTTCTTTAATATTAAATTCCTTTTTAGTCTATCTGTTATGAGTTATTAGATATACCGTTTAAATCATCAAACTTCGTTGATACGGAGTATGACAGAAGATGTTGAATTTAATCTAGTAATCTGTATGACTTTTATGTATCATTATGTATCATTTATGTATCATTGTGTTTTGCCAAATATTTTCAGCATATTTTCAGTTGAAAATTCTGATAAATGTCACACTCTTTTTGGACGAGTGTCTTGTTTTTACTTTGTTGAGCTTGACGCATGGATTATGATACTTGTAATACTTACAAAGTCGATTATGTCATTCGAGTTTGGTGATTTCTAAATTTCTTTCTAGGAATCTCAATGAGATTGTTGCGCAATTCGCGCAATATCAATTTTATCGATAAAGTTGTAACAGGTTGGTCACTACAATCGCATTAATATTTTACAAGATTTTACGAATCATTTCGCCGATCGCGACTTGTTCTTTTTTTTTTGCTTTTTTCTTCTTTTCGTATCTTTAGGCACTGTTATATTTTTTCATTCCAAAGATCAAAACGTATGGAATAGGCAGTAATTTTTTTTTATAAATGATGGCCAACATCAGTCGTGTAATTCCGAATGAGGATTTTCCTCCTCGCGATGACCGACGTCCTCGACGACGTATTCACGAAGACTGGAGGTGAATCGATGGTCCAATGATGTAGTTGACTTCGTGGAGGCTGTATGAACTTTGTTCGGTAGTCGACGGAGCCAATACGGATTCGACGGGGATGAGTATGATATCAGCACAAGCACGCGCCGTGAACATGCTGCCGATGGTATTCCATATGATCCATTGGCGGTTCCTCGATCTGCCTAATGGGCTGAAATTTATCTTCATTCTGGAGAAGGTGTCTCGCTCTCAATGATTAGCATTTCGGTGAACCATAAAAGATTATTTCTTTCGATGAGATCTATATATCTCTTTGGCATACTAGTTGCGTTATTACAAAGCGAGATAAAGCGTTTTAATGATGAAACATTTTAAGTCTCTTTCATGAAATATTTAATAAAAACGCAAATGCGAAGTATTTCTAAAATAGTATATAGTTTTATTTATATTTACATTTTGAATCTTTTTATCGAATTAATTAAATAAACTTTAAGTAATCTTTAACATAATTTTTGAGAAAATATTAGTAATTTTTTTATTAGTAATTTTTAGTTTTTTTATGACTCGTTAATGCATTAATAGCATGTGATATTATATCGTAATTGATTTAAAAGTTTATAATTATATCAATTCCTCTTTGTGACGTGCATTCGATTAGTAGCGAAACGAAGGATATTCATATCGCTTGAGTGCATTCATTTGAGAGAGAAGGCTTGTAAGGCGAATGTTTACCACAAAAAGACTGACATACGCTTCATCGCAGATTAGTGTCAGCATTTCTTTGAGCTGAGGCTTGCAATTTGCGGTTCATCGAAGCGCTCGCCTCGCTTCTCGTGGAAGATGACCTATCTCGCTGACCCGGAAACGCCGAATATTTTTCCGAACATCTATAACGGCGTATTTGAAGCATCACAGATGTGATGAGTGCTTTTTGAAAGGTCGAGATTATTCATTTATCGAATACGACGTGTGTCGTTATCTTTTTCGAGAGCGCCACTTTGCAGGGAAACATTGCAGCATAAAAAAAAAATATGCCTGCACTTGGACTTCGCATACTCATGCCTTTAATTTAATAAATCATACGATAACAGTCCTCGTAAAAAGAGAGAAAAAAAGCAATCGCAAAAGAGATACTGCACTAAGCGTCTTATCGTTTCTTCCTGTTCGTCGGTGTCATTAATAATTGTGGGGAAAGCAGTCATTGCTGTGCGCTGCGTTTCGGCATTTGAGTGCGGTACTTTTTTTTATTCATTGTTCTCATGCAGTTGATCCGCTGGACTCCATGTTTCGCAAATTATTACTGGGTCCAGCACATTGAATTATTCTGTAATTTGCACTGGACATGGTGCGTGTAATCAACAGTCCGAACACGCCGTGCTCATTTGTAGAATCGCTGCGCTTGTTTGCGTTATCTTGTTATCGACCGTTATTGAAATATGTAATTTTTCGTACTAACACACATACATTATCATTATTCAAATAATGTATAACAATATTTTATGTCATCATCTTTTATTGCAGAAAAAATTTTATCTATTCATTCGATAATATGGCAAACGTGACAAATGTGTCGATAAAATATTGATTGTGTTTTAAATATGAATCCACAACTCTTCATATTTTTGGAATTATGTCAACACATTAATATAACAGAGAGAGATTGCTGGAGAAATATGGACCAAATATAAACATTAACATTAAATAAACAAATAGTTAAATTTTTAAATTGAATTTTTAATTTGAAAATTAATGCACGTATAATTGAATCTTTCTTTATTAAAAATATATGTTCGCATATATCTATTATCCACCGAAAAAATACTAAAATTTCTATAAGATGGATATTTTTTATTTCTTTGCATTATTACAATTAAACACGTAACATTTCCGTATTATCTCGCAGAAAATACAAGATATAACAAGTTTTTTCTTCGAGTTACCTCGAATTTTATTACGACGTACTCACGAATTTAACAATGGATGAAGTTCTGAGAGAGTTGAGTAAACTTTTTGTCAGAAACTTTCCGGGGGATTTAATTTCCGACACGTAACGAGGACGACCCGCGATATTTAACGCGGTGTTATCAAAGGCGATTCGATGCGAACGACCGTCAATAGCAATAGAAAACTTTATTATTACGCAGGCAATAGTAATTTAAAATCGCCGTTAGTTACGGACCCGCGCCTTCGTATAATGAATAACGAATTGAAATAATCAGCGATGAGATAATTGGGGAACTACCGCTCGATGCGCAGATAGATGAAAGTTGATTGTTTTGTGGCAGTATTTGGAGCACGCGAGAAACTAACAAATTTGAAAATATTTCTGTGTTGTTTTGTGAAGAGATAAAGGATGAAACAGCATACGCAAAGCTAATGAGAGTAGTGTTGTATATATTTTCGTTTATCAGCTGTTAAGCTCGAAAATGATGAAGTTAAGAAGCAGAGGATGATAACAAAATAACTTTTTGTAATTAATTTTTGATAAAGTGCGACGAATATTCTTTCTTTTTAAATTATTTTTGTTTTCCTTACTTTTCTTTTAATCTAAGTTTGATAAATAAAATTAATGTTATTTTTCGGGAAGAGAATAACTGGATCAGAGGCGGTAAACAGATAAGAACAATTACAATTTTCGGAAAAGGGAGAACGAATTTTGCGCAATACGACAGAGGAGACCAGAGAGGTGATTGTAACGTCCGTTTCATATGTTATGGAGCGTACGTGATATCCTCGGTATTCACAGAAGTGATTCAATGGTTGAGGTTAAATCGCTTCTCTCGTCCAAAGATCACTTCATTGTCACGTTTCCTTCGCGTGAAAATACTTTGACAAGGAGTCTCTTAACGGCGATTGGTAGGGTCGCTTTGTGGATCCTAAATTTAAATGCCAATCAGGTCAAGGAGGCTAATGACTCTTAACGGAAATAATATCTGTAATATTCACGCACGATACCGTTCTGCGAGTTTATCATTACAATATATCAAATTGAATATTATTCTGACACGACGATAGAATATTTGTTCATACTTATACATTTATTATATTTGATCTGGCTAAATAATTAATGGCTAATAATTATTATCACGTTAATTTATTTATTAATCTTTTTGCCCATAATAATTATATATCATTGCTTTAATATATTAAATCAAATTTTATGCGATAAGATTGATGAAAAATTAATGTTACTTTTACAGTAACGAAAAATTGATAATAGATGATAGATTATTATATATAATTATTACACGAAGTTATCTTAAATTGGAAGCCGTGTCGCGTATCTGATAACTAATTTTAATTAATTAGTCATTTGAATTTGTTGCCGATTGACATATCGTAGCGCTTTAAAATTGAATGTTGAATCGAAGCTGCGCGGTAGGCAAAAGCGGATGTTATCGGGATTTTTACGAGATGCGATTTATTCCACTTTACGATCCGCTCGAATCGGAGCAGCCAGGCAGTGGCTGCGTATCGCGCCCATCGGCACCCTCGACGCGCCGAAGTAGTATCGCATTTGTGCATTTCGCGGCTGGAGTTCGATAAATATTCACCCCGCTCGCACGGCGGGCGGTTCACCGTCTCGCCGAGCAGTGACGGCTGCGACGGCGCGATTTATCGACGAGTGCTTGAATACTCGATATTCGAAGAGAGATGACGGACGGCTGAGAGATGCCACTGTAGCGCCGTATTCTCAGAGATAAGGATGCTCCTTCTTGGTCGCATCGGTGTCTCCTCTAGTCGTGTTGAGACGCGACAGGAAAATCCACCGGGCTTTTCGTCCTCCGGAAAACGCTTATCGCGCCGGATGTATGCACGTGAGCGAGAGAAACGGGATGTCTCTGTCTCCTCCCTCTTTCTCGCTCTTTGCCGCATCTCGAATACTGTCAGCCGCCGCCGTTCCGGACGATCGATCTTTGAATCTCGCTTACATGCTTGTCGGCTTAATCGATCTTCCATCGATAGGGGACTATCGTTTGCGCTGTCTCGCATTGCCCGTCGCCGTTTATCTACTTTGACATTAGGACGTACCATATACTCGCAAAGCGCCGCTACGATTGTTTACGGTTGTCGACATCCGCTCGTACTTTATCGACATCCGACATGAACTGATCCCACTTCAAAAGCGTGATTTAGAGTTGTCGTAAATTGGTGGTCCTTCGCGATAGCGTTATCATAATGCCGTTTCGAATACTTGGGATACGTTCGGAGAACGTTTGATTATGGCGCATTATTACTATTTTTATGTTTTGTAATGGCAATAATGCTAACAACAATATGACCGAAGTTTGCAGATGTTACATTGTTGTTTACGGATATCGTGATATACGACGGTGCCGCAATTCGTTATTCAACCCGTTGCATTATTCCGGTATGTATGTATGTGTGAGCGCGCGTGTACGCGCTTGCACGTACTTCGGACGCTCTTAAGGGACTCGGTCCTGGAGGACGATAAATTCTGTTGCTCTCACATTTTCCATGACTCCTCGTACGTGCAAGGATAAGGATAAAGCGGACGATGAAAGCTCGCGGCATACTGAGAATCCTCGCTCTTATTTATTTTCTTTTCTTCCCGGTTGCTATTCGTCATGCTGCCGCGCCGCGTACCGGAACAAAATGAAAAACGCACCGGAAACGCCGAAAATAACCGCGAGTCACGTGGAAATTACGAAAGGGAGAGACCTGCCTCTCGTATTCTATTTGATTCATCACCACGTATGGATGAGACGTCGATTGAAAAGAATACAATTTATCGTGATTGGAAAATATCTGCATTTGTCGCATTTTTAGCACATAATGCAGTTGTTTTAATTTAGATCATAAAATTAATCTTGACATAAAGAGATGTTTTAACTATCGACTAAGCAATCGTTATCAAAAAAAAAGGAAATTAGCTAAAAAGATAATTACTTTTGTTCCTCTGTATGACTTAGGTTTTACTATGTAATAACAAAGCTCTTATTTCTACATATTGTTATATATTAAATTTATTTTTGCCGTAATACAAATCGTTCGTAATGTCTGTCATCAAGGTTGGAAGCGTCGTGATAATGTTGACTCACGCGAAAATGAGCCTAAGCAAATCGATCGGATTCACGGTGACGTTAAGAGCAGGATTTTCCCATAGCGACCATCAACCTGTTCGCCTTCTCCGAATTATTCCTGCCTCGATCTCTCCCCAGAGAAGCGATGGAAGGCCGTGAGAATGAGAGATAAGGACGATTAGAGAGGGAGACCTGGACGAAGGAGAAGTGAAGTTCGTAAATCAGGATGTTACTCCCCTTGATCCGATTACGAGCGATTATATTCCATGCGGAGTCTCCACGCGACTCGTCGTCTTGCTCGGTTCTTTTACGGTAATACGACCAGCTCTACCAATTGCTTCGCGATTTTTTTCTCTTTCTTCGTATTTTTCTTCGTTGCTTCTACATATTTTCCGTTCTTATTTCCTAGAGAGTCAACGTTTTCTCTTTTTAGTTAGAATATGCTCCAGAATATCCAAAATTTCATAACTGTACTTACATAAATGTACTTGTGGTAAGAATACACGACGAGAGAATTTTTTTCGTATAATCAACTTTCTTTTTTCTCTAAAATTATTTCTTATTAAAGCGTTTTGTTTAAAAACGTAAAACTGTAGGATTAGAGTAATTGATTACGTTATAATTTTGCTGTAATATCTCTGTTAAAATACGATTCGGCTCTACTTAATTCTTTTCTTCTCATAAAGCTTGCTTCTTTTTATATAGAAGATTTCTTTATATCTTTATCGTGTTAACGACTTAAAAGTGCTTGCGATACTCTTAGCAACTTTGGAAAAATATCGACTTTGAGCCATTTCGTTGTTTCGCAGCAGCTGCATTGTCCATTAAACAGCCTTAAGTTCACGAGCTAGTTGCGTTAGTTCCGTAGCTTTCGTAAAATTCTTCAGATACTTTTTTTCTTACTATCCATCTATAAAAACTGTGCAAGTTTGCCATATAATTTAACTCGAAACATCGATCGAACACATATTTTAATTAACTTTTCTGAAAATATAATATATCTGCTTTATTTCAATTTTACAATGCATATTTATTATACCACAATATTTATCTAAACCTAAAAATATAAATAACATTTATATTTTTTATTCCAATATGCTTGCGGAACTCCAAAAATATACAAATTAAATAAGTTAAAATTTGTAATTAAAAGCCGGAACAAAGTTAATAATTAAATTTATATATCCGTTCATATTATAGTTCAAATGCCTTTATTATTTTTTTTGTACTAGTATATTCTATTTTAAATGCATTATGTGTACGTGTGTGTGTGTGAATATATTATTTCTATATTAGTGAAGAAGTTCTCAGACTTTGAGATTAATGATGTTTCGAATAAGAAGCAAGCTTGCAATGTCAGCATGCATCGAGCTGCCGATAGCAGCAGGTCAGGTTGGTAGGATGAGACATGGCGGGATACGTCGTGATGTCGCTCAACAGATGGGAAACAGATAGAGATGTTGCTGGGTAACAATCGAGGATGCGCTGTCGCTTGGACGGATTGCGCGCATTGCCATCCGCGACGAACAATGAGTCGTGGTCGACCTCTGAACAGAGAGATGGAATTTGCGTGGTCTCGGGGCCGCATTTGATATCGGAAAATCAGGGAGAGAGAGCTTCAAGTCGCGACAATGCATTCCGGACACATTGCTCCTCGGGATTCTTTCCGTTCGTTGCATCGTCGTGTTGGATGACGTGCAATCGCTCGAGTAAAGCTTTTATTCGCGAGAGGTGCCATTATTTTGCTTGTTTAATCGCGGAAACTTAGGAAACGAATGATGACAAGTTCTCAGATTTTTCGTATACTTCTTCTTTGTAACGAATAAATGCGAAGTAACATATAGAGCGTTTTATTAAGATTAATATTAAATGTTTTAACAAGAATTTTAAATAAATTGTAATTTATTTTAATATCTTTCCTAAATAAATATGTCATCAAAAACGAAAAAGTAAAAACGAAGGCTCTTTTAATATTTTCTTTTCTTATTAAGCGGATATTAAATTTGACATTAATTCTTAAAAGAGGCGCGACCGCTAGCTTGACATTAATCGTGAAAGGCCATTTTTATTTTTGATGTTTCGAATCATGCGTACGTAAATCATTTGCAGGATGCGTCCCTGGATTTATGTCACTGAGCGATTGCGTGACGGTTTCGCCTGACATTGCGTCACGCGGTTAACACCTATCGAGTCCTACCTATCTACCTATCTGCTATACACGAATTGGCTTGTCCTCTCTCCTTTTGCTCATCTCTCGCTTTCTCTCTATCTCTTACAGAAGTGCTATGGTGATATGTCCCGGTTAGCCATATACTTCGTCTTCGGACAGAATTTTCGATCGAGCAAAGTCTCCGCGTTCCTATCGTTCCGCGGTTGTACAGTTCGATTAAATTTCTCCGGGATCCTGTGTGGTTACGGAAGTCTGGTATCTGGCATTCGAGCGTCCGTCCTGCGGTCAGTGGCTGTTATGTAATAAATGTTCGGCGATCCTTAGTAATTGCCCGAAGTTTAATTGTTTGAATACATGCGATCTTTGACCCTACAACGTGGACGACTGATAGAAATGTAGTAAATAGTACATTAAACTTCCTATATTTAAACTTCCTTGTATTTTCATTACTCTTCTTTTTTTTTTATTATAAGCACATGCATATAAAAACACGATAAAAATAGAATGAATCTAAAAAAAAGTAATATTTATTTATTTCGATGATCAATTATCACGAATATCTATCGATTTATTGCATTTATTAATTTGTTTTGCGTCAGATATAAAAGAAATTATATATTTTTCTGCAATTTGTAAGAAAATTTTTTAATCAAATCCGGAAAGAATGAATGTCAAACTTTCACATAGGCCGCATAGTTCGCTACGCCACAACGATTCTTATGTCTCGCTAATCGCATGTAGCCGTTTTCACCCCAACTGTTGCCCCACCAATTTTTCAGAATCCATTCGGTCGGCGTATATCCTACGACAAGCATTGCATGGTTCACCATATCCGAACTGCATTGGTGATCATCATAGACGCCTTTGCTATGGATGAAAATATCAATATAATTAATAAATCTAAAATTTCTTTATACGGTTTAAAAAGATCTATTATCGTCGAAATATAAATATGACACTATCTTTAATAAATTAAAAAATTCAACTCAGATAATCGTATTTGCGAATAAAACTTTTTTATATGTTAAGTTTGTTATGAAGGATGTTGATAGAAAAAAGAAAAATACATCACGCAAGAAATTTCTCAATTAGAGAAAGATGTGATTCACCGACATTGAACTCGTGCGAAATATTATATATACAAGAGCACGTGATTATTAATATATTGCGTTTGCATATTGATATCGCGTGTTTTTGATCAGCAATCCTTCAATTTATTGCAATCTTGCGAAATAACATTTCGAGGCATCAGTTGCTTCACGCGTGTAAATGATTTCCATGATTTTTCGCGAGTATCGTTTGCCACAAATAAAAATAAACAATGGCAGGAAATAGTCGCGCCCTGTATTGTGGGCCCTTTAGAATGGCATGAATTCAGTGTGCTTCGAATACTTTGAATGAGAATCGTTGCATCGACAATATGCCAAAGGTTATCAAGTGAATGACGAATTTTGTATCAATTTTTGCAGTATCTTCGACGGGGGTCCGGCCAAAATTTCCAATCATCATGCTTTTTATGTAAACATAACATGTGTAATTCTAAAATTGTAATTATACCAAGAGTTCATCAAAGATATTATAGCCGCTTAAATAATTTAATATTTGTACGAACACGTTTATCTGGTATCTGAATTTTTAAATGACCGAATATTATTATTTAAAGTTTTATTCTTAAATCGTTAGGAAAATATTCAATTATGATTTTGACAAATGTATGTCATAATTAATAAATTATTGAATAAAAACTATATAGCATATTACGATTAATTATTTTTTTTCCATTCTTGGATAAACGATAAACGATTAACAGAATTGACAGCAAAATTATTATGATTTAAACATCGGATACAATATTGGAAATAGTAATAACTTATAAGATGAATTTATGATGCTACTGCGCACTGATAATAATCGGCTGCGATCAATCAAAACGTAGATCCGGATTAAATCGACAATGTCGTTTGTGCAATTTCTCGGAAAGCTATACCAATTCTATTGGAACTTGATTAAAATATTAACTAACATATTTATTGCCAGATTACGACTGATTAGTTATCTGTGCGAAAAAAACTGTTCGTCATCGTCGGTTATCAGTACAATTTTTTCGAATTTGCATCATAACGTCGTAATTCACATTGTTTTATTTTTTTCCTGAATCGATTAATCGATCCGCAAACACTTAAATTATAACGAGTACAAAATGCGTGTGGATTTGCGGAATAAATAGCAGATGTATAAAATTATCACATATTTTTTTGAAATGCGCTGCGACACGTTTGTCGGCGACTCGCGCATACGTCATTTGCTTATTAGCGGCAATTCGCACAGGCGCGTTTTTTTTTCGACATAAATAAAAGTGCGCTACTCACTGATAAAGCTGAAATGTCTTCGGGCTGGCATTTATGGAGGCGGCTACGGGGCCGATTGTTGCCACTGCTATTTGCAGAGCCTTCTCATCTCGCGCCGGTAGAATTGCCCATGAAGTTATATTGACGACACTCAAATCTCTCTGAAATCTGCACACTCCTTGCTGAAATAATTCGAGTTAGAAACGTGAATTATTAATAACAGTATTAATAATAATAATAATAACGGTTCAATATAGTTTAAATATTTTTTGCAAAAACTTTATTTATACGAAGAAATAGCCGTTTTTAAAACGCTTCGAACATTTCGAAATTAAATTTGTTATTTCCGTTCTCAAAACGAAAACTAACTTTATCGTGGCACGCGGGATTATTATCGAAATAGCTACTTCCGTTGATATTACTGGCATAAACTTTACCATTATACATAAAAATATACGAAGCTAATCTAATTTCTGAGAACGTTAAAGGAAATTTAATAGAAAAAGATTGATAATCAAGATCTGAGAGAACTTTGTCCACAATGTTTTGATGTTTTGTTGTTGATTCTTTTAAATTGGAGCGTATCAGCTATACGCGCTTGATTGCATCATCTTCGATATTCGACACATCTTAATTAAGCCAACTGGGCCAGATAAGCACATCTTCTTCTTCTGAGAGAGAATAATATTCCCATAATTTTTTAAAATTCTATGAAATATTTAGTCTTTGCGCGCGGGCTAATCTCCTTTAATTAATAATGTATAATGCGAAGTATATTTACTATTAATTATTAAAGAAGAGCTGGCAGAGCTATCGTCACGGAGACATTCATATCACGGAAGTTCATCGCGTTAACGTGACTGACATAATTCAGATTCTCCTTGTCCGAAATCTTCCACAAATTTTCTAATTTCGATTGAAGGAGATCCGCGAAATAATGGAAGAAACCTTGACGTTTATTGCGATAATTAAATTCGCACTGTCAGCGCCTTTGCTTCAAGTCGCTAATAACACATTAATGCATTATGGTCGCAGTAAAAAATGCAGAAATTCAAGTTTCTCAATTCGCCATTATTAACTATTTGTAGCGTAATCTTTTTATTAAATTTTTACGATCGACTAATTACAATTGATTGTTAAGATTTTTTTTTTAATCGAACGGAGAACGGAGAAATTCTCTTTTTTCGTACTTTAAAATTCAAAGATGTCGCGAACATTTCGTAATGCTTTGCAAATGCGAAAGCGACTCGAGAGTTTGCATTTTATAAAGAGTATCCCAACGGAATATCACGAATGTCGCATGCTCGACAGTTGGAAAAGCGCAGTGCGTACCTCGCCGTTATAGGGATACATGGATCTGGCCATGAGACCTTTCGACTTTTCCAAATATTTCAAAGTGTTCCTGAGGGAACCGCCGGTGCAGCCGAGGTTCCCGGTTGTCGTGCTGCAATCTACCAACTGTTGTGCGCTCACGGGTAGCAGCATGCCGGTCTGCTTAAAAATCTGCCCCTCTATACTTTCCGCGATCGAGTAAGCGTAGCAACTCCCACAGCTCCGTTGATTCACCGACGGAGTGACGAAACCGTATTCGCGCCAGTCCAAATGTTCTGGTATTTTGCGAGGATCCTTCAAAGCTGCCGATACTATCGGTTCGATCGGCAGTCGGCGTCTTCGACTTGGTATCAATTTTACCTTGCAACAAATTCAAACAAATTGATTGAAAGAAAAAGACGTTGTCGAGATCGGACGATTTAGTTTGTATTTTGAATTATTACAATGTTCGTGAAATAGAGAATTGTGATTTTTACAGATTTGTCGTTGTTTGAAGATCAAAGGGAAGGAAAAAGAGATTTAGAAAAATTAAAACTAAAAGATTTTCGTTGATTAAAACTTAAATGAATTTGTGTCAGTGTCATTAATTACGAACCATGTCGCGCATATATTGTCGAGTGCTGAGATCGGCGATATGATTGTCCCGCAATGTGTAACTGTGGTGTCCCGCAGCGGCCAGTAGATTGTGTTTATAAATTTCCACTAGATTTTCTTCCCAAGCTGCTCTCCTTGCATTTTCCATATTTTTCTCATAAGTCTTATTAAATTGTGTCTGTTCAAATGTCATGAGAAAATAATTTTCAAGTAAAATTTATATATGTATATTGTAAAATTTATATATATTTTTACCGCTGTTATAAGTGTTTTTTCTTTTAAATTAAAATTAATTGTTAACTCTCAAATTTGATTTAATTTAATATTTAAGGCATTAATCTAAATTATTTCTACTATTGTTATATTGTAACAATATTATATTATTATAATCTACAGAGACATTATAATCTAATAATAATATATATTATATAATATTATATTACAGAAATATATTACATTATAATCAATAGAATTTGAAAGCCACGAGTAATTTTTGATAAAAAAAATACGATTAATGAACGAAGTAAAAAAAATTTACATTTGAAAACTCAGTTTCTCGAAACATTTCTATGTTTTAAAAATATGATACCTTGTAGGTTTCCCAATAATCATCCAGCTTTTTCGAGATTTTCGGTGGTAGAGTGTCCCCATTGAACGGTTGGATCGCACGTGTCCCGGGCAGGATTAATATCGAGAGCAGCGTTGCGCACAATCGCGAGCACATGGCAACCCGCGGCGAGTAATTTACAGTCCTTAATTAATTCGCGTGGCAGACCCGAGAACGATAGCTATCTTGACGTACCTTACGATACTGCATAAGGTCATAACGTGTCAGCGCATTCAGTGAATTACATCATGGACAATCGCTCACGTTATGCTGATGCATGTTTATTTCGTCAAATATGCGTTCAATGTCGTGTTTTCGGCTGGTATCTTTCAAGTGTCCATGTTTGCATCACGTTTTAGTACAGGCTGAACAGAATTCTTAGAATGGTTACCTAACTCGAAAGGGAAACAGCAATGCAATGATTATGCTTATATACATGAAGCAATTTGAGCAGCCAAATGTGTGTTTCTCGATTCATCCGAAAATGTTTTCTTCTTTTGTTCGGATAATGTTGTCCAAAAAATATGTCGTTAGTATAAATTATATCAAATATTATTAATATTAGCAATTAGGAAACTAGCCAGAATAATCGCAATATATCGTTATGCTATGTAATTTATTTCAATTCGCAATTAGATTAATCTAATATCTTAGCAGTAGTTTCGTATAGTTTAAAGATTATTGTAACACTTTAACAATTAGGTAAACGATATGTCTGATTAGATATAAATGAACTATGAGTTTTGAATTCGATACAAATCTCGTAAAATAGAAAATCTAGAAAAACAAAAAGAGAAATTATTAAAGAACCCTTGAGTATGAGAGGTAAAACGAAAAACACAATTCATTAAATTACTCTCTCTCCTTCGTCGACTTTTTATTGAGTTTCACAGGTGGAAGGCTGTCGCTGCTACAAAGCTGGCCTGCGAAAGGTCACTTTGTCGAGCTTGCCACTTCAAAGAATGCCGCCTGGTCGGCACGTTTCCGCGAGATGGCGGCAGTCGTAAGTCAAATGCCGCCGCCACCGCGAAACCTCCGCTGCGGCCGGACGGTCCGTGTAGTAGCGATACGCGCGCGCGTCACGCTCGTCTCGTCGCGCTGTCGGGTCCTCGCGCGAGTTCGCGCTCATCTTCCTACGAAAAGTCGTCGTTGTCGCCGTCGTCGTTGTTGTCTACACCGTTGTCTAAAACCGGCGAAAAAGAAACGCGCGTAAAGGGGCGATGGAACGTGCGCCGCAATCGAGGAGAAACGTCACGGACCCGCGCACGCGTGCACGCGCGGTCGCTGTCGCTAACAACTCGCGCGAGAACTCTTGACACTTGCGTAAAATGGGAGTCTTTTCGCGGTGCTCGTGATCCATCAAAAAGGCGCGCCGTGATCCATCTCCCATATCCATTTCCCTCCGCACATCCTCTCCCGAAAAGAAATTCTTTCCAACCGATCCGTTTGCCGTCGTTATCGCTCGTTTTCGACTCTTTCGCAACGCGTCTCTTCCCGAGAAAGAGAGAGAGAGAGAGCGTTCACCTCTCTCCATCTCTTCCTCCGTCTCTACTCTTTACTCCTCTTTCCGTATCCTCCGTAACATCGTTATCTTTTACGAAGCACCAACGCGCGCGTCTCGCCTCAGCCACTCCGGAAACTTTGGAACACGCGCGTTCTCGCGTTTACCCGACACGCCGCGGCTCGTCGCGCGCGGTATATTCGAAGCGCCGTGACGATGGACGAGTCCGGGATCGACATGGGTTTCGATTTGACGGCTGCTCTCGCCGTCACCGACCCGCTCGCCCACCATATCGCCATTGGAGATTACGACGATGACTTTGAGCAGGCCCTGTCCCTTCTATCAACCTCGACCAAGGACCTGATGTACTACGAGCTGAAAAGTCGTGCACCCGATACCGGCAGGTACGTGGCTTCCGGCGCCAATGTTATCTTGAAAAATTTCCTTAATCAAACATACTAATACGAGATAACGGAGCGTATTCTGCTTGACATTGACATTGTTGCAGCGGAAGAGTAATGGTGGTAAAACTAATCCATAGATCCATTAATAATCTTGATATTATTAATGTTAAGATTCGACAATTAATATTAATACTAATGTTACATGTTGTGAGTTAGAGAGATAAAGCGATTATAACGAGGAGGGAATATAAATTATACTTGTATTACATCAATCATAATTATTAGACATAAATTTTATTTACGACATATGACATATGAGGTAGATGAAATATATACACATGTATTAATGTATAAATAAAAGAGGCGGATAACTCCAGTTTTACAGTTCATGTGAGAATACATGTGTGTGTGTGTGTGTGTGTGTGTGTGTGTGTAGT